TCCATGTTTAGCCTAAGTAACAGATAACTAACTAATAATAAGTTCTAAAACTTGAAAACGCTTGAGAACGTATGCACTAGAGCTTATGAGCTTAAATAAGTCCGCGCAATAAATAAGAGATTTCTGGTCATGGCCTTTGTGTCAATTTTTATTTGAAATGTATTTTCTCAAAGCTTTATCATGGATCTCTCTGGGTAGAAGTATTTTTCCTGGAATTCTTTGGTTTACCAAAAAAACGTGTAGGATCCAGGGGTCACTGTAACTTCTTTAGTTAAACCCCAAGGTTTACCGTCGCGCATACTTGTTAAGCAGGCTTTCCAAAAATTGTTTGGCGCATGGTGGGGCGAATCTATTTTAGGTGCCTTTGTTTTCAATATGCCTAGATGGTCTTAGAAGTAATTATTAGTGGTAAGCTGCAAGTTTAAGGTGCAGTTAGTAAAAGAAAGTCTGATTGTTTTGGCAGGAGCTAAACTGTATTAGGAATGTGCATTACTTTCTTATAATTTACGGATTCATGTTAATACCAATTTAAAATAACTCAAAAGAGAAATACACACCTTTCGATGAAAGACTATTAAGTGGATTAGAATCTAATAGTAAAAGACTTACAGCAGTGGTTCTCAACATTTCTAATGCCGCGACCCTTTAATTTAGATCCCCATTTTGTTGCTACCACTAATCACAAAACTAATTTGATTGCTGCTTCATAACTGTATAGTATATGTCTTTTCCTATGGTCTTAAAGGACCACTGGGAAAAGGGTCTTTCAACCCCCAAAGGGGTCGCAAACCAATGGTTGAGAACCACTGTCTTATAGAATAATAACAACAACTGAGGGAAGCTACTCATCGCCATAATAAAACTTGGTTCAAAGACGACAAACCAGATGTCTATATAGCAATGATAACGTGATCAATATTTCAACTTGTGCTACAATCATCAATATATTATATGTCTTAGTTTGATTTTCTGACATCGCTTTCTTAGCAATATATAAGGTATATATTAGAAGTTAACTAATGGCTCAGCCTGACAGCAAAAAAGATTCGTTCATGGATTATGTGGAGACTTGTTTGTGTGACCTGGATACGCCACTGAATTATCACACATTTATCCAAGTATACTTGTTGAAATGAAAGTAACTAAGGGGGTAAAAGTCTAGGCCACCTAGATATCTATAAAAGTCCAATAACCTAGTTAACGATTACATTGATCATTCAGTGCGACTGGTTTGATGTAAAGTATTACATTATCGAACACAAAAAGGACTTTGCTAATTAAACCAATACGCACATAAGGTAAACAGTTTTTGTTTGTACTTAAGATTATAATATTAGATTAACTGGTATTGTTGTAAAAAGTATGTTTTAAGTGGCAATTATCTATTAATGCTGAAAAAAAAATAAAAACATATTTTTTACAATAAAATTCTATTTATCATGATTGAATAGTTTTTTTTTTACCAAAAGGATTGCCAGCTTTCAATTTTGATGCATTGTGTAAAATATTTTACACAATGCATCAAAATTGAAAGCTGGCAATCCTTTTTGGATTGCCAGCTTTCAATTTTTTTGATGCATTGTGTAAAAATATTTTATTATTATTTTTCTTTCATTTTTTTTTAAATGACTGTTACGATCTTGTTATTCTTGACGTGTTACGGCTCTCTCTTGCGTTGTCTAGGGTGTATGAATCTGTCAAAAAGAACACAAGGTCCAGTATAACAATATATAATATTTATTAGATTCTTTACAAAACAGGATACACGTCAGTCCGACTAGCAATTATCCACTCGCTCCTATCGCTACTGGCTAACTCTTAACTGACAACTCTGATGACTAACAATTCTCTTGCTCTTCTACCTTCCATCTCTCGTCTCTGACCTCTGTCTTCTCTCTGACTGACCTCTAGCTAATAATAATAATAAATAATAATAATAAGTGGTCTTATATAGCGCGGTACCCCGGCCTAGGGCTGGGCTCACCGCGCTGTACATATATAGCAAAGAGGCATAATCATAATATAAAAATAAAATACATAAATGAAATAAAACAACATATAAGCAAAACAACACCATAGGTATATTCATCCACCCACACCAGACATTTTTACAAGGAAACCCATGTACGTTTATCGGTTTATAGGAGGAGAATCAGTCAGAGTAGTATAGTTTAAATAGATGTGTTTTGAGTGCAGTTTTGAAGGCATGTGTGGTTGTTATATTGCGGATGTGTAGTGGCAAAGAATTCCATTGTTTGGGGGCGCAGAAAGAGAAAGATCGTTCACCATATAATTTAGTGCGTGTCTTGGGAACGGACAGAATACGCGAGTCTGC